CACCCTGCGCGGGAGCACGAGGACGTGCTTGTGGAAAGAGGGAGGAAGATGTGGCAGTGTGAGCGTCCTGTCACAATGTCCCGATTGATCATGCGCCCTGGCTACTGGGCTAAGGAGATGCCTCTTTGGCTGACTGGTTAGAGTGTATGACTCTCACCCGGGAGTCTGGGGAACGAATCCCGCCCGGGCACTCCTTTCTGCATCTTGCCACATTAGTTTTTCCAGTTCGGAAGTTGTTTTAAGTGTTGCTATTTGTCTTAAACGTTCACAATGAGGATATATTAATCCTTTTTGCAATATTTGCGATTGAAAGATGGTTTGTGCCACAAACTTTGTGGTAAGAACTGGCTTTCTTTATGTTACAGCCTTGATACTAAAAAAATAAGTAAACAATGTAAAATGGTACCCTGTATTGAATGTAAACGTTGTATAAATGGAAATAAACAATTCTCCAGCGATTTAATTTTTTCCCCTTCCTTTCTTTAGTCCACTTGACATGGAGCCACAGTTAACTAGTTTGGGGCACATTTTTACTTGAAAAAAAGTATTTAAAATGATCAAACTTTGGCTTTAATAACACTGTGTAAGTTGCTATCTATACATTACGTTGCTCTATTAAAAAGTAACAAGATAAAAGCACTTCAGCACATAAAATTAAGATTGTCACTTGCCAAATAGACTACACCCTCCCGTTTACCTATAAGAAATGCCTCAAAATATCTTTAAATTCTTTATTGATGATTTAATTGTAGACAACTAAAATGGCATTTTACTTGCCAAAAAGTGATTGAATCGCTAAGATTTTCATGGAGGCTAAAATTGACCAAATAAGGGTTTTATGTATTATCTGTTGATGTTACTGTACTCATACTGCCTACTGTATCATCAAAAACACCCCAAAAATGGCACAGAAAAAAAGAAAAAAAAAGAAGATAATTTCCCTTGCCAAAAATTGATTACAGTGTCCTGGTCACGTGTAAAGGGTTACATTTACCTAAATATTACTTTATTTATTATCTCTTGATGTTATTAGTGCCATCACAGGATGCTGGGTGTCTTTCACATTCATAAACACCTCAAAAATGGCAACAAATGATCATTTCCCTTGCCAAAAATTGATTACAGTGTCCTGGTCACGTGTAAAGGGTTAAATTGACCTAAATATTACCTTATTTATTACTCTTGATGTTATTAGTGCCATCACAGGATGCTGGGTGTCTTCCACATTCATAAACACCTCAAAAATGGCAACAAATGATAATTTCCCTTGCCAAAAATTGATCACAGAGTCCTGGTCACCCATAAAGGCTTAAATTGGCATAAATATTACTTCATTTATTATGATGCTGGGTGTGTTCCACAATCATATTCGAATAAACATGAAAATATTCCGTCCGAATGTCTGTTTCTTGTTATAAATATAACAGCTAGAAGGATTTACAGTTAAAATAGGAGAAACACGTGACTCCCCAGGAAGGGTCGTAACACCACTTGCCTCATGCACATAAGTGACCAAAACAAAGCAGCATGGAGACACTCCGTCTCCAACCACCTCTCAGGCAGCAGCCTGCACTCCCAAGTTCTACACGTCACCAGAACATAAACAACTGCAACACAATAAAAGCAGTGTTATACAAAATGGAAGGCCTGTAGTGTTTATTCTCTTACAGTAACAACTTATCAATTTTTTTGAGGAATTTATTTGAGAATTTTTTGGTTTTTATTAATTGTGCAATAGAAAAGTAATCACTAGATTAATCATCTAAATAGTCATTAGAATAGTCGACTATTCGATAAAATAATCGTCAGAATAATCATTTAAAAAATAATCAGTTACCCCCAACCCTACTTTTTAGAATACCAGGATAGGAAGGATGGTGTAGGTTTACGTTTATTAGATTGATACATAAATACTACCAATAACGTTGGTGTGTGTCAGAAACAGCGTAAGGCTTAATGTCTTTTCCAAAAAAAACAGGTGATGGGCCGGTCTCCAGTTAAAATGCCCGGGCTGAATTTTTGTCCCAGTCCAGCCCTGGAGTGAATGATCATATTTTAACAAGCATTACACATCTCAGTGAATCCCCTCTTCAAATTCCTCTACAGTGAAGTGAGAGGCTCATTGCTATTTATCATTAACACTTGGTTATAGTTGTTACCCTCTTCCTAGATTTAGGAAGCAACTACTTTTTCCACACAAGAACAGGGTGGTTGGATAGCTTTGCTCAACTGTATAAATGAAATTATCAATCAAAAACTACATTTTGGATTTATTATGAATTTCTTTGTCTGATACTTGTTTGCTGATCTGAAACATCTAGATGTGAGAACAACAACAAAACAAACAAAACCAGAACAAGTATGTAAAGGGACAAATACTCTTCAAAACCACTGCATCATAAACTAAATCATCTATAGCACTGTGTAAATCAGAAATGCCAAACCCTAAATTTTCTTGCACTTAATCAGCTTCCCGTCAGGATGATGCAGCAGCAGCAGTAGCTATGATTATGAAATAATGACTGTAGTAACCGTAGGTGAAGGCTCTTCATACCCTGCTCAAACACTCTTCACTCCAGAGGCCCACTTCAGCTGGACCACTTCAGCCTCACACAGCAGAAGTCAGTTTTGTAACACGGCGCCTTAGTGTGGGAGTGCACTTAGCTCTTGCGTAACCTGACATGTTTTATGCTCAGCACTTGTGAACTTTGCCTGCATGAGAAAATAAAATAAAACCATTATTTGGCGCAATATCTGTTGGAGGTTTTGTTCAGTGGACCTGTTCACACTTCTTCTCAGAAAAATGTTTGTGGGACCTCAGGTGTCGTGTACGAAAACAACCTGAAAAGTTCTTGTGGTCTTGAAGTACTTGGAAAGAGTCCGGTGAAGTTCCTCAATCACTCTGTGACAGCATCTGCTTGCTAACCCTGCTGGTCTGTGACTGAAGGTTTTTAGTAGGTCATTATTTACAGTGTGGGGATAAGCATATTGCCCTCATCTCATCCGCTATCATCTCCCCTAGTCAGACAGGAGCAGAGCCAGCCAAAGCTGGTCGGCTTGCAAGCCCGTGGCTGACCTACTTACCATTCGCTCTTTGCTCATTTTCACTGTGGGAATAAAATTAGGAGTCATTACTAAGTTCTCAGCCTCGCACTATGCCATAAGTCAAAAGGCAGGATGTTGGAGTGAAAATCAGAGGCACAAAACAAGGTCAAGCAAGCAAAGTTATTAGAAGTGATTATAGTAGTCTTTGTGAGGAAGAGCAAGCCTCTTAGCTGTCTTGCAGCTTCTGAACAGAAATCTAACGCTGTTCTCTCTTAAACTTTCTTTAAAACATTTATTTTGATCATGTCCAACAAAGTCAAATCTGATAAAAAGTTGGTGCACATGGGAGCCAGTTACAAAGACACGATGCAGAATTATTTTTGATTGTTCTAGATGCAACACTGCCTTGTTATGTTCTCCTGTTATGCCTTCAAAAAGAGCCGTTCCCGTTAGGCTTTTGAAATTCTATCATTATAACCTTTGAAATTTAACACTCCAACTGAGGCCTCTAAAGGCAGAGATTACTGCACCTGCTTTCTATACATGAATTACTCAAAGCTTGTTGCTGTCTTGACCTCAGAATTAACTTATTGGCACATCAACTCTTGCAAAATTGAAATCTGGTGATACACACGAGTTCAAACTTTGAGTGCATTTAACACAATCCAGCCTGATGTACTTTGCCAGAAACTCCAGAAGACACAGGTGGGGGCCTCAACTATCACCTGGATTAAAGACTAACTGACAAACAGACCACAGTTTGTGAGGCTGAAGAACTGCGCATCAAACCAGGCGATCAGTAACATTGGAGCACCACAGGGGACTGTACTCTCACCATTCCTTTTCACCCTGTACACCTCAGACTTCCAGTACAAATCGGAGACCTGTCATCTACAGAAATACTCAGATGACTCTGCAGTTGTCGGGTGTATCAGAGATGGACAGGAAGCTGAGTACAGAGAGCTGGTGGAGCACTTTGTGGCATGGTGTGGAAACAGTCATCTGACCTTGAACGTGAACAAAACAAAGGAGAAGATTTTAGACTTCAGAAGAAACAGGGTGGAGTCAACCACTGTTTCCATCATGGGAGAAGAAGTGGAGGTGGTTGAGGAATACAAATACCTTGGAGTTCACCTGGACAACAGACTGGACTGGAGAAAGAACAGCGAAGCTGTTTACAAGAAGGGACACAGCAGACTGCACTTCTTGAGGATGCTTAGGTCCTTCAATGTCTGTAGCAAGATGCTGCAGATCTTCTACAAGTCTGTTGTTGAGAGTGTAATCTTTTCAGCCATCATCTGCTGGGGTAGCAGCATCAGAAGCAGGGACCTGAAAAGGCTCAACAGCCTAATAAAAAAGGCTGGTTCTGTTCTGGGGACGACTGTGGAACCACTGGAGGAGATAATGCAAAGAAGGATTCTCCAGAGAATCAAGAAAATGATGGAAAACCCTGAGCATTCTCTTCACAAGACTGTCTGACAACGGAAGAGTGTCTTCAGTCAGAGGCTTCTTCAGTTTTGCCGCAACACTGACCGCTACTGGAGATCCTTCCTGCCAACAGCCATTGTAATATACAATAACTCTTTGATGATTTGATTATTATTATTATTCTGAGCTACTACAGCTATCAATTTCCCTCTGGAATTAATAAAGTATTTTTTAATTGAATTGAATTGAAATCAAAAAATTTCCTTTTATGATACACATATACAATGCTTGCATGGAAATGTATGCACTATGTAAAAAATTGCTTCCTGAGTCTTTAAAAAAATCAAAATGTTAGAATAGGTCTTGACATGGACCAAAATAATAGCAGCTGTTTTGTTTATGATTTAATCAACAAGTGATGACACTGGCGTGATGTCTATCTGATTGACTCCCCTAATAAAACAAAGAAAGTCTGCAGGGACAGTGATCTTCTCTTTGTCTCTTCACCTGAGATGGATTGTGCTCACCTGTCCAGTGTAGGCAAAATCCAAAGCGCACTTTAGTCCAATGCTGGTCACTCCTTGTAGAGTCACTTCGTCTGCCTCGCTCTCCAGCATGCTCAGGCTGAACATGGCCTGATGGACACACAAACACACTGCAGTCAGCTCAAAGTGTCACTGCATCACATGATCATACAGAAGTGTCAGAACATGTCATGAGTAGAACATTTCCCAAGACACTGTGAAGAGTACAAGCCTAAAATTACAACATTTTAGTCTCTTACTGACAGCAATGGAGGCAGACAGGAATGTAAAACAGGGTCCACACAAACAGCTATTGTATGAAAACTAAAGGTGGGACTAAATGTTGAAATCTGAGCAGCACAAGGCTCTGACAGTCACATGTGTGATATTTATGGTTTCTATGGTTTAATTTAAATGATCTGACTCACCACTCACCACTCTAAAGGGAAAAGAGAGCAGAAATATTGAATTTTGATTCATAATTTGAGTTAGGACTTTAAACATCATGGGACTAGAAAAGGTTTGTTTGAAAAAAGGGTGAACGTTTAGGCAGATAGACATAATCTGTTGGTGAACATTCAACATAAACCCCAAATGTCAGATAGGGGTGGAGTTTTCTCATCTTTTTCACTAAAATGTCTTGTTTTTTAATGAGTTTGTCTACGGTGTTAGACCAACCTCAATGTATTAATCACCAGAGGTGTGGAATCGAGTCATGTGACTTGGACTCGAGCCAGACTCGAGTCATTTTAATGATTTCTGACTTGACTTGATAAAATCTATAAAGACTTACAACTTGACTCGGACTTGAAGGCCAATGACTTGCGACCTGAATTGACTTGCATCTGTTAACTTAATGATGACTTGAGCATATTTGATGTTTTAGCACAAAAGTGGCATGACATGGACAAACATCATAAATCATTGTTCGTCCTGGGTTTGATCTTGAACTGCTTAATGCAGCAGCACTTTGTTTATAATCAATTTCAGTTGGACTTTCTGCTTGTTTGAGCAAATAAATTAAGATTTAAGAACTTTTATTTCTGGGATGTATTTGTTGTCATCGTCATTAAATTTAAATTGGACAGATGACTTGATTATGACTTTAAAATTTAAAGTTAAGAGCTTGGACTTGACTTGGACTTCTACACCACTGACTTTGGACTCAACTTGGACTTGGTTGTCTTTGACTTGGACTTGACTCGAGACTTGACTGGAAAGACTTGTTACTTACTTGTGACTTGCAAAGCGGTGACGGTCACATCTCTGTTAATCACTATGCATTAATCCTGATTAAACACATTTGGATGCAGAATTTAATGTTTCTTTTCACAAAACTCCAGGGCCCTTGTTTATCAACAATACAGATCTGTGGTTAGAAATGATTTTACACATTGTGTATTTACCATTTTGTACATGTGTGGCTAAAGTATTTAAACATCTGAGAAAGTCAGTGTTAATATTTGGTACTGAAGTCTTTGGAATTACAGAGGTCAGTTTCCTGTAGTTCTTGACCAGGTTTACATACACCGTAACAGGTATTTTGGCCCAGTCCACACATATCTTATGTTTAGCAGTCCAATACATTATTTAAAATTCATACAATGATTTTTACATGCTGTCTCTCACAGTGGAAATGCACGTACAATGTAAATTTCTGACCCCTCCACAATTTGTAAGTGGGAGAATTTGCTAAATCAAATCTTTATGTTTATTACTGTAAACAAAATGAATTGAGTTGACTGACAGTTCTGCAGCCAACAGAGGAGGCTGCACTCAAACAGCAAACCTTTCCAAACAAGAACAAAACGAACTTCAAACAGAATATGCACAACTAACCCTAACCCTTACACTGTCCTATCAGGTGACCCCTCCAGGACACCGGGTGGTTAAACATAGTTGATAGTTTATCCTTTGGCAGGGGGGTCCATGTGACCCAATTTTCTGTGTGTGTGTGTGTGTGTGTGTGTGTGTGTGTGTGTGTGTGTGTGTGTGTGTGTGTGTGTGTGTGTGTGTGTGTGTGTGTGTGTGTGGATGGGGGGGTCTTTGAGAGCTTAAGACATACTGTGACCAAATATGATTAATCAGGGGTGTTTCTGTAAATGACTTTAAAATTACTTTAAACAGACACGAGCATCTAAGGATGCATACGTGGGACTTATCAATTCAATTTGGAAGGAACATGTTCACAAGTGGCCACCGCATGTGTCATAAATTGGGATTTTGGCCGTTTGTTCGAACATTCTAAATTACATTTGCAGGGAGGAATATAGGACAGTTTTTAGAAACGTTTGATGAATGAAAGCCCAGGATCTTGATAGAACTGTGAACAGCTTCATTGACATCCTAATAACTTTGACAAATGAGAGAGGACCTTGCATTAGATTAGACCCAATAACCGCAGCCCTTAGTGGTGCAGTCGATCCCAAGTTGTCCCTCCTGTCCTTCAGTGTAGATGCAGTAGACTCATCACACGTGAGGCTTTACAGTTCTGACAGGCTGAGAAATTGGTTTCATATGTGACCATGAAGTTAGGAGACCAACAGCATTAACCTAGCAGACACACCATCAGGGATCCTTTCAGTATTGATTAGCCAAACAAACAACAAACAACATAATCAGTGCTTGTGTTACACCTCTGTGTCTTCTCTCACTCTGACACACACAGATAGACCATCACATGGGTCCATGCTGTTCACGCTGGACTCCATGTGAAATCAAAGCTGTGTGTGTGTGTGTGTGTGTGTGTGTGTGTGTGTGTGTGTGTGTGTGTGTGTGTGTGTGTGTGTGCGTGCGTGCATGCGTGTGAGAGAGAGAGAGAGAGAGAGAGAGAGAGAGTGAGTGAGTGAGTGAGTGAGTGAGTGAGTGAGTGAGTGAGTGAGTGAGTGAGTGAGTGAGTGAGTGAGAGAGAGAGAGAGAGAGAGAGAGATAGAGAGAGAGAGAGAGAGAGAGGGAGGTCCAGCTTCCAGTTTCCTAATCAAAGCTATCGATTGGTGTCACACCATAATGGGATGGCAGAAATATTGACCCGTGCCAACCAGCAGCAAAGGAGAGATGCACAAATAGGAGTGAAGATGGAGGAGATGATGTTTTTACATCACTGATTTTCAAAGTTACACAACTGCAGCTGCATTGAAGTACCAGGCTGTCTTAGGTATTGTCGCATTTCCATCTGTCACGCAACAGCCACAATTCCTCTCAAAACTCATCCAGTTTTCCCTGATTTGTTGCACACATAAGCTTTAGTCAGATGACCTTCTCCCCAAACACACACACACACACACACACACACACACACACACACACCTCACCAGCAAATGGCCCTTGTGTAATGTGTGACGTGTGAGACGGGGTTGCCCAAAGGCCCTGCTGAGTTTTAAGCAATGTCTGTCTTGTTGATTCACTGCTGTGCTAATTAAGAATCCATCGCTCCACTGAGCAGCAGGGCCTGTAGCTGAACCCGGAGTGAGATGGTGCATCAGTCTTAGAGCCAATCAGTGTGAGTATGAAACAGGAATGATGGGAAGCAGAAAGTGAACGGAATGGCTTGACACGATGTCCGCAGAGCTGATGTGTGAATGCCCCTGACCTTGGCATAGATGTTGAGGCAGATGATGATGGATAGCTGCTGTGATTTGGGATGTAAACCTACCTTAGACACATTGATCCACAGAGCTGATCTGCAGTGCAGAGGGGATGCAGCTCTGTGGTTAAACTGACCTGCTGGCAAAATATATATGTGTCTGTTTATTGTGATAACACCAGAAAAGAAATCATAACTTCCTCACACATCCAGTGAAATATTAGGGTTCACTGGGGCTGTTTCCATGACTGTGAAATATATTGGGTCATTTCTTGTGGGATGAGGCTATTTTGAATTTTGTCTGAGAAATTTCTCTCTCCAAAACATTTGATAGAACCTACACGGCTATGATATGAAGTCACCATCAATTCAGTTCAATTCAATACAATTCAAGTTCATTTATATAGCACTAAATCATCTCAAGGCACTTCACATAGTAAACATTCCAACACAGGTCAGTTCATTAAGCCAATCATTAAAAAGTTTCCTATATAAGGAACCTAGCAGATTGCATTTACAGCAATCCTCATACTAAGCAAGCATGTAGCGACAGTGGAGAGGAAAACTCCCTTTTAACAGGAAGAAACCTCCAGAGGATCCTGGCTCAGTATAAGCAGCCATCTACCACGACTCACAGGGGATCGAGAAGACAGATCAGACACACACACGCACACACACACGCGCACACACACGCACACACACACACACACACACACACACATTCACACATCCGCAGCAGCTACAACTGACGAAGGGTGACCAATCATTTGTTTTTCGGACTTTGCTTTCCAACGCTCATGGTAAAATGGAGAGTTCACCGAATTGTGATCTTACAATTTCACCTTTGCCTCACCCCCATCCTAACCTTAAACCACTTGCACATGCAAAACTTTGATTCATGTTGTATCGTTCCTCTCAAACATGGTTAATGGGAAATTTAGGTAGGTAACCTCTAACCTCTAGCGTTTTAACATTCCCCTCTCCCCCATCCTAACATTGACCCAGTTTCTCTTTCTAAATTTCCCGTAAACACGTCGGAAACAAACGCTTGGTCACCCAGCATCAATTTTAGCCGCTTCGGGTGTTAGAATGTGTTGCACACACACACACCAACACCCACCCACCCGCACACACAACATGTATACCAAGTAGTGTTTCTATGGTTACATTGTGATTTCTTAGTAAATATTCTATTTAGTAAAGGATTAACTTTATTGTATTTAACCTAGTGAATCTATAATTAAACGGGTGAACTAGCAGTAGCACATCCAACGTCAAAGAAAGTAAAATGTTATTATCAGGAGAGGGAGAATGTTTAAGTGGTTAGCAACAGTGTTCAAGCCAATGGCCCCCTCCATGAGGCCAGCACGGCTCAGCAGAACATTGTTGTAACTTCTTCTGGGGAGAAAACACTTAGAGAAAAAATAAAGTTAACAGCTGAAATAGCAGGAAATAATGCAGTTAAAGAGCAGATTGTAGAAGAAAGTTTGTAGAAGAAAGTAGTCGAGTGTGGAAAGTGGTCAGTGTG